CCTAGATCCTTTTCATATGTACTACAGTGGTACCTCAGGTTAAGAACCTAATTTGTTCCAGAGGTCCGTTCTCAACCTGAAACAGTTCTTAACCTGAGGCATGCTTTTGCTAATAGGGCCTCCTGCTGCCGCTGCACCGCTGGCGCGCAATTTCCGTTCTTATCCTGGGGCAAAGTCTTAACCTGGAGCAACCACTTCCTAGTTAGCGGAGTTTGTAACCCGAAACGTCTGTAACCCGAAGCATCTGTAACCCAAGATATCACTGTAATGGTAAGCCAAGTGTTCACCATCTTGTATTTGTGCATCTGGTTCTGCTTGTCTAAGTGCAGAATCTGACATTTGTCCCTATTGAAATTGATTTTGTTAGTATGGGCTCAGTTCTCAAGTGTGTTAAGGTTATATTGAATTCTGATTCTGTCTTCTGAGGCATTAGCTACCCCTCCCAGTTTGGTGTCATCTGCAAATTTGATGAGCACCCCCTCAATTCCTTCATCCAAGTCATTTATAAAGATGTTGAACAATAACAGACCCAGGACAGAACCCTGCAGCAGAAATGTAATTTATCCCTCACAGAGTTACCAGTTGTCTTTTCAGTTCCCAGGAGACCTTGGGAATTTCACTTTATACATTGATCACACTAGCTCAGCTAGTGTCAGTGTTTTGTTATGACTCTTGAGCCAAGGAGAGAAGTATCTATACGACCAGAAGTCATCTGAAGGCAGCCTTGTATAGGGAAGTTTTTTTAATGTTTAATGTTTGATTATGTTTTTATATAACAGGGACGCAGGTGGCGCTGTGGGTAAAACCTCAGCGCCTAGGACTTGCCGATCGCATGGTCGGTGGTTCGAATCCCCGCGGTGGGGTGCGCTCCCGTCGTTCGGTCCCAGCGCCTGCCAACCTAGCAGTTCGAAAGCACTTTCGGGTGCAAGTAGATAAATAGGGACCGCTTACCAGCGGGAAGGTAAACGGCGCTCCGTGTGCTGCGCTGGCTCGCCAGATGCAGCTTGTCACGCTGGCCACGTGACCCGGAAGTGTTTGCGGACAGCGCTGGCTCCCGGCCTCTAGAGTGAGATGAGCGCACAACCCTAGAGTCTGGCAAGACTGGCCCGTACGGGCAGGGGTACCTTTACCTTTACCTTTATGTTTTTATATGTGTTGGAAGCCACCCAGAGTAGCTGGGGCAACCCAGTAAGATGTGTGGAGTATAAATAATAAAATGATTAATATTATTTTTATGGACTAGGACGTCCCTATATTTACTGGAGAAATGTTGGAGGGCACGGATTGTTCATTGTATGGCATTACAAGTAACCCTTTCTACAATGGTCCTGCTGTTCTTCACTCTACTTAGCACTTTCACGTTTTTGCAACCTGTATGAATCTACTGTTTAATTTGCATTGTGAGGTGGGGGAAGGCAGCATAATTCTACTTGTCATAAGGATGGGAAATATTTTTGCCCTCAAGTCCACCTATGCAGCCTGCATGTCTCCATCAAACCAATCCTTGACAGGGAAAAGGAGCATAATGTGACACAGACTTGCAAAGCGATGCAGTTTCCCTTCCCTTCCTTGTTTGTTGATGCCTTTGGGGAGGAGGAAGATCTTCAGCAAATCTGCTGCTGCTTTCTCCACCTCTTCTTCCCTGAAAAGGGGCACCCAGTTCCCTACCGAGAACCTAAGAAGCCTTGAGAGCGTGTGCCATCACTTGCTGGAGCCAGTGGCGTAGCGTGGGGGGTGCAGGGGGGGCCGGCCGCACTGGGCACAACATCTGGGGTTAGGGCAAATCCACAGGTTAGGGGGCGCAAATCCACGGGTTAGGGGGCGCAAATTACTTGCCTTGCCCCGGGTGCTGACAACCCACGCTACGCCACTGGCTGGAGCTCTCTAGTTGTTTGGGGATGCTGAAGGTTCTCACATATCACCAAATGCAGCAAAGGCAGATATTAAGACGGGACCTGGATTTGGCTAGCGAACTACCCCAGAAATAAATTGGGAGCTCTTGACTGATATTAGGACGGAGAGGGCAGATAAGAAGAAGAGGAAGAAGGCGGCTTGTCAACAGGGGTTCCCTACTCAGGACGCCTGGTGAACTTCAGCTTTCGCTGTATTGCTTTCCAGAGTAGGGAGCCTTATCCTGCTGGGAAGGAAGCAAGAGGCTAACTCCAGAGAGAGCTCCCAGCTTAGAGGGTCCCTTGAGCATATATGATGTGGTTGCCCGGAGCCCAGGGGTGCCACCTTGAATAAAATATTGCGGGGGCCTACGTAAGCCCCATCCCACATGACACAGTGCACACACACCATTTGAATGGGAATGCCCATCAACTTTAGGGGGACCTGGCTCATTCAAATGGTTTATTGTGGGGTCTGAAGCCCCCACGGCCCTTAGAAGTTGGCTTCTGCCAAGAGGCTCATGCCAGCAGCTGGCAAAAGGCCAGGGCATTGGTGAGATGGATGCCAGATCTTTATCTGCCGTCAACCCACTCTGCAAAATAAGCTAATCAAGAGCCTCTGGCTCCAAGCTGGGGGTGCATTTTTTGTGAAAGGCACATTTTGTGAATATGGCTCTCTAAGTGAGGACAAAATTTGGGGCCACACCCAGGTCTTGTTTTCACAATAATTCCTTTTGATGCAGTTGCTTTTTAATGGATCTTCTCCATAATAAATGTTGCTGCTGCTGCTGCTGCTGCTGTGCGCACCTCTGCTTGGCACCCTGTGCAGTGGAATGCCCCACACCACTCTAAATCTGGAGCTGAACATGCTCACCCTCTTCCCCAAGCCCCAGGTTATAAACAAGGTGCTGTAAACTCCTGTTTTATTTTAGTCTCTCTTGGCCATGCTCTGCCGCTTGTGCCCCTGGCTCCTTTCTTTGAGTTGAGCTCTCCCAAATCAAAAGACGGGGGACACATTTCTGCATTGACTGGCAGCCGTTCTGTGGGATTTTCCCAGCTCTGACTGGAGACATCATGGTCTGAAACAGGGACCTTCTCATGGGAGCAGGAAGCTGCTCCCACACTACATTATGGCCCTTCTGCAAACCAAACTGGGGGTGATTGCTATGGAAAATAAATGTTGTCATCTAATAACCTGGAGCTGTCAGATCAAGGTCCCAGGCACCCTTTGCCCCAGAGGGTGATACCTTAAAGGAGGTTTGGGGAGCCTGGTGCTGAACTGCGACTCCCAACAGCCCCAGGAACACAGCCAGAGGTGGGGGGTGCTACAGATCCACAACATCTGGAGGGCCAGAGGTTCCCCACACCTGCTTTAAAGTGTTGCTTTCAGCTTCACATCAGAAGTACTCTCAACATATTTAATTAACAATTTTATTTATTAATAAAGGAATATATACCATTAAATATATCAAAGCGGGTTACAAAATCAGAAAGATAAAAGTCATAGGATATAACCATAAACACTAAAAACAATCCAAAAGTAAAAAAGTTAAAGGCGCACCCATATACCATTGTGGGAGGTATGCCCGCATAGGCCTGGTGGAATGAAACAGTAGGCATTTAAAAGTTGGCACAGAAAGCGCCCTCTTAATCTCTATTGGCAAGGAGTTCCACAGGTCTGGGCTGATGACTCTCAAGGCTTGGTTTCTCATTGCTGTCAATGGAGCCTCCACAATTCAGGGAATATAAATGCATGCCCCAGAAATTTAAGAAAGGAGCTCTCAGGTGCATGCTTGGGTGAAAAGTGGGTCCTGCGTCTCAAAAGGCTAAACTTTAAGGAACAGTGGCTACCAGATTCCAAAGAACCAGTTCTGTCCGGGGGGAAGGAGGGAAGGCAGAAACCTCAACAGGATCCTGAGAATACTTCTCTGGACAGCTATGGCAAGGACTGCAATAAAACAGTGATATATGAACAGTGCAAGCTATAGCTATAGCCCCACTCTCTTGGGGGGCCCCCAAAATAATAAAGGAAAAAAGAACTGAATGTGCATTTCCAAAAGATAAGATAAAAAACAAATAAAATAAAACCTACATACAGCAACATTGTTTTGTGTTGTGTATGGACCTATTAGCATCTATTCAACACAAAAAAACCGTGATAATTTGTTGTTGACAAAGGACAGCTGGACATATAAAGGGCCCCATTACCTCCAGTAGCTTAGGGTGTCATCAAACCTAAATCCGGCCCTGGATATGAAAGGCAAGAGCAACGAGTGATTTCTTAGCAGCAAGCTAAAGCCAAGTGCTGCTGATCTTCAGAAAACCTTTTCACAGACTGTGCTCAGAAGACTAATCTCTGTTACAAATACACACCATGTATTTTTAAAAATGATTATAGGAATATAACTGATAATTGAAATAGATATGAAAAAATATAGCCTCCAGTTTTCTTTATTTTTCCTTCTCCTCCTCCTGCTCCTCCTCCTGCTCCTCCTCCTGTTCCTCACCTGAGGAAAAAGCCAAAGAACCACGGGTTAAAATTGGTGCCTGGTATGTGCAACCATATGCTGTATTTTCATTAAGCTGTTTTTTATTCTTTTTGGCAAGAAAATGGGCACACAAGGAAGACAGCAAACCTTGGTGCCCTTCAGAGGCACATGCGCAGTCTGCTACTGGCCTCTGGCCTCCTGGGGGGAGGGATGCCACCCCTTCCACTCAGCAAAGGCAACCGTGGCATGGCTACCAGCTCCCCAGAAAGGCGCACTGAACTGTGCTCCAGACTGTGGTGGGACTCCCCTAAGCCCCAGCCAACATGGCCAGCGCTCATCATGGATGATGGGACTTGAGACCCAACGTCATTGGGAGGGCCATGTCCCCGGAATTTGTGAAGACAGTGTTCTCAAAAATACCTCCTGCTTGTGGCTCCTGGAATCTTGCGTCATGCTCCAAGATGTCTGCTTCAAACACCTGAATGGCTTTGTTAAGTGCCTGATTATTGCTATATGGATTTTGCACATCCCTCCTAAGTCTCTCGACCCCCATCTTCTGAGCCAGATTTTCCTGGAGAGGACAGAGATGGGTAGACATTTACTCCAGGTGTTTACAGAAGTCTCAGAGACACTGGTTAAAGAATTTGTGACAGAAACAAACTAAGCAGGTGGGGTTTTGTATTTATGAAATCTACTAATGAAATTGAGATTTATGTGGGATGTAGTAGTTTTGTTTCTTATGTGGCAAAGTTTTAAAATATGCTCTCGGAGTATGCCTCTTCCCCTTTTCTTTCTTGCACTGAACGTGGTTCTGTGAGGCTGCATGGGGAAGGTGATTGCAGCAAACTAAATAGTCCAGGGTGGCGACATTCTGTGGTGCGGTTCTCGTAACTCGGATCTGTGTTTGTATTTATGAACTCTGAAAATGAGATTTATGCAGAGTGTAATAGTTTGTTTTCTTACATGGAAAAGTTTTAAAATACACTGATGATGTTGACTGGCACTTGGACCTTTGGTTAAGTTTGATAATTAATTTGCTTGAAAACACAATGAATTTAAAGGAGGAATAGAGTGACTGGCCTGGTAGTGGAGAGTGGCAGGTAAGGCGGCAGCGATGGAAGCCGCATAGGTGCAGCAGCAGCAGCAGCAGCCAGGGATCCAAGTCCTGGCTGGATATGGTGCAGGACGTAGCACAGCTGGACGAAAGGCGACAGGCTGCACAGGAGTACCTGGGGTGGGAGAGGAGGCGACATTGTATTAGGGTTGTGATTTTCTGAAGAAAAGGAGAAACAGAACGAATATTCCCATTGCTTTCTCAGTATAGGAACCTTTTGCAGTTTTTAATCTGTTCAGGATGTCTACAACATGCATCCCAGAAGCAGAAGAGGAAATCAGTATATAGCTCAGAGTGGGTGGCAGAATATCCATGGGTGACAAACACGAACCCAACTGCACATTTGACATCAAGCTGCTGCTGCTTCTTCTTCTTCTTCTTCTTCTTCTTCTTCTTCTTCTTCTTCTTCTTTTTTGTCTCAGCCTGTGTACCAGGCGGGCATGGTAAACAACCACCCTGGACACAGAAATAACTTGCACCTCCATGGACAGCTGTGAGTCTAAAATGACTCCCAGGCTGCACACCTGGTCTTTCAGGGGCACCGTTACCCCCTTCAGGACCAGGGACTCCTCCACACCTGCCCGCCTCCTGTCCCCCCAAAACAGTACTTCTGTTTTGTCAGGATTTAACTTCAATTTGTTAGCCGCCATCCATCCTCCAACCACCTCCAGGCACTCACACAGGACCACTGGTTCCGATTTGAAAGAGAGGTAGAGCTGGGTATCATCTGCATACTGATGAACACCCAGCCCAAACCCCATGATGATCCCTTCCAGTGGCTTTATATAGAGGTTAAAAAGCATGGGGGAGAGGAGGGAACCCTGAGGCACCCCATAAGTGGGAGCCCAGGGGTCTGAACACTCATCCCCCACCACCACTTTCCGATCACAGCAGAAGGAAGGAGAAGACCTACTGCATAATGGTGCCCCCAGCTCACAATCCCCCTAAGCAGTCCAGAAGGTACCATGGTCAATGATATCAAAAGCCACTGAGAGATCCAGCAGATCTAGGAAACAGCTTTCACTTCTGACCCCAGCGCACCAGAGACCACCACAACCAAGGCAATTTCTGTCCCATGATGGGACCTGAATCCTGATTGGAAGGGATCCAAATGGTCCTCCAGGCATGCCTGGAGTTGTTTGGGGAATGCTTGTAGTTATTGCTGTGAAATCCTATGCAGGTTGCCTCTAAACAAATAGTATTACAAGAGCCAACTCAGCTATGCATGTTGTATGCAATGTGTTTAACTTGCCCTGCTGTGCCAAATCCTAACCCCTTTATGCCTCCCCTGTCTTGTGGCAAAATCCCAAGCCCATTCCCTGCTATATTTGAAGGCAGACCACTGCTGAATGCAGCAAGGAGTGACAGAATGTAGTCACGGAAGGTGAAGGAGGGGGGTGGAGTGACTATTGGCTCAATACAGAGGGACTTACTGACGGGCCCTTTCCACAGAAACAAAGATGTTAATTTGCTTAATTCTTGTTTGAAGTTACAGAGAGTTTCCAATTGATTGGGGTGAACACCATGCAGCTGATATTTCATGCTGATTTGTGTCAAAACAATTAGCAGTACAAAGCCCAGCAAAGCACGTAATATGTAATATTTTTCTTACACTTCTAAACCATAATGCTTTTCTTGATGTATTTTCATTGAATAAAGCACCGCGTACCACATGTGTCTTTGTAATGGATTGCTCTGAAGTCATTTCAGCACCAGGTAAAAAAATACCCCCCATCTTCTCTGCCCCCCTCCCTGCCCCAACTGTCTTGCATTTTACCCAACCAAAGGTGACAATCCAAGCCACCACCAAACGCCCAACTATGGATCTCTTGGTCTGAGTTGAATACAAAACCAGATGCTTTCTTCTTATTGCCAGCTGCAAAAACCACAAACACCAATTTAGGAAAGGCATCAAGTTGAGTCCTAAGGCTGCAATGTATCTCCATTCAGACCACAGCCTGATGAAAGTGTCGTGGTCAACACCCCACACACAGTGAAAAGTTGCTGGTTTTCACCTTCATACTAGCATGCAGTGTAACAGCTGTTGAGGAAAATGCCAAAAGCTCTCACAGCTTGCTACACAAACCGTAAGAGTCTACCCAGCTCTCTTCCTCCTCTATCCCAACATATAACCAGCTCTTGAGTTTATAAATGAGTTCCCTCTTTCCCCAACCCATTCCATATGCATCCTGACCCAACTATCAGGATTTACCATCTGGCCAACCTAAATGCAGCCTTGCAGGAGAAGAATATAATGCTAGTCAAATATTTGTAGTTCAGAGGATGCACACCTAAACAGCATAAACACCAATTAGAAATGAGCATAAGCAGACCAGTCACACACAATGCACATTCTCCCACCCCAAACCAAGTCAGCTCACCGCCAAAATCTGGAGTCCATGTTCCTGTAGCTCTTTCGGCAAATCTCATTACAGGTTGGAAAGTATTCTGCCTGTTTCCCTGAGGAGCCTGTTGTCGGCCAGGAGGCACTTTCTATGAGACACATGACCCAAAGTATTTTATTCACACACTTTAAAGTGGAAGGATTTCAGGGGGAGATGCATGTGGGGTGGGGGTTCCTTGTGGCTTGAAGACCAAAGGATCACTATTCAGACCTGCATTATTCATAGAAGCATAGAATTGTAGAGTTGGAAGAGAACACCAGGGTCATGTAGTTGAACCCCCAACAATGCAGGAATCCTTTTGCCCAACGTGGGCATCAAACCCACAACTCTGAGGGTCTCATGCTCTACTGACTGAGCTATTCAATGACTCCTTCAAGTAAGGGGGGGAAATGGGCTGTTGTGTTAAGGGCTAATGTTGCACGTCCAGGTAGAAGAGCTCATTGGCATTATTTTAGGCTCTATGTCAATTGACTTTGTGACATGATAGGGGGGAAGTAATTTAATTTTTATGAGTATTTACCTGCCACCAATTATGTGGGAATCTCAAGACACTTTAAAACCATGTCAGAAAATATGCAATCATTGAAATACAGCAAAATAAACAGACCTACAGGAAAAAGGTGCTTTATATCTTATATAATATTATATAATAGCCCACACTGGCTGGCAGAAGCATCCCCCCAAATCCATGAAGGGAAAACATGTTTCCCACCCAGAATTGCACTCATTTTTCTAGAAGGAGTAGCAGAGGCTGCCCCCGCCCACTACTCTCTTCTCCCAGGCATCTGAAGACATGAACAGCTCCCCTTCTCTACCTGTGTGACACAAGCCTGAATTGCAAGACAGTTCCCACTTTGGTACAATGGGGAACAAACATGCAGGGGACGAGTTCTGAGGGCCCCCAACAAAGTCATTTCCCTAGGCCCACCTGCCACCCTGCTGCTGGCTGCCCACCCACAGGAAAAAGGCACTATTCTCCCCACAAACCGAACATAGCAATAGCACAATAGCGTGTGGGTTCTGCCAACTTTTCCCTACCTTTTCATCCGGACGTCGCTGGGCTGGAGCCTGCCTTGGAAGCTGCGCTGGAGCCTGCCTTGGAGGCTGCGCTGGAGGCTGCGCTGGAGCCTGCCTTGGAAGCTGCGCTGGAGCCTGCGCTGGAGCCTGCCTTGGAAGCTGCGCTGGAGCCTGCGCTGGAGCCTGCGCTGGAGCCTGCCTTGGAGGCTGCGCTGGAGCCTGCCTTGGAGCCTGCGCTGGAGCCTGCCTTGGAGCCTGCGCTGGAGCCTGCGCTGGAGCCCTGGTCGACGGGTCGTGGGGCCCGCGCGATTCAAACACAGGCTCTGGACGGCGGCAGGGCACCAAGCTTTCCTGGCGCAAGAGAAAAGAGGTGAGAATAGGAGATCGGATCCTGCAGTTCTCCCAAGCAACCTGGGCAGGAGAAGGTTCTTCGGGCTTCTCGGGCGGATTTTTCTTTTCCATTCCTAGGATGCTCCGGCAAGTCCTCTCTGTAGCAACCTCCGCTTCGGGACACGCGCGCTCTCCTGGATTTGCCCGAGCTCCGGACACAGCAGCCGCCAGCAGAGATTCCAACCTGGGATGTGCTGCTCTCCCCAATTAACTGAATTGTCGGGGAAAGGCTGGAACTCGCGTGCAGCGGTCGGCCAATAAGAGAAGGAAGTGGGCAGTTCTGCCCCCCTCCCCTCAAGGCGTTGAATGTGCTTGGGTCAGTTGCCCTCCTCCAATGCCAAGTATGAAAACAAAGTGCGATGGGATGCCTGAGAGCAAGTCAAGGCCACTAGCTTGACTCAATGCCCTTTCTCATCCAAAACAGAAGTTTCTCTCCCCCCCCCACACACTCTCTGTGTGTTGTGTTGGGTGATGGCATCCAGCGACATCCAGCGGCCTTGTCAGAATTCCTCTAAAGTTACCTTTTGACTACAAGCTCCTAAGACCCAGTGACAAGACTTAATGTATGGTTTATGATACACCAGTATTTCCAAACTTCACTCGTTCAGTCTTATTATTTCAGGCAATAAAACTGTTTTCTTCACTGTCAGCTCTGAAATGGTTGGCCAAGGTAAAGAGCCAGAGTCCTGCAGCTCCGCTGTGTTCGACACTTCTTTAATGCTGTCCCGCTCGCATTCTCAGCTTCGCAGGGCTACCTTGGGCCTTTATCAAGATGGGCCTCCTTCACAGAGGGCGGTTGTGAAGAGACACTCAGGAAAACACCCGAGCGTTTGTTTCGCGATTTGGAGAATCCTGGCATGCTGCAGGCAGTGGGATGCCCACTGACATGGGGAGGGAGACCAGGCTGGAAGGAGCGAAGAGGGGGCATGAAGTACGGGGTCTGGAAAAGGAGGTGGGGAGCGATCCCCCTCCCGCCGCTCCAGGATGGGAAGTGCGTCCCGGGGGAAGCGGGATTCAGGCGGAGGAGGACGTCGGGTTGGGTGGGGGTTGCCAGGAGCAGCACGGCGTCCCTCGAACCCCCGGCTTCCACTCTCCAGGCAGGCGCCCAACGTGGTCAGCTGGCAAGGGCTCTTTCTTACTCCAGCCTTGGCGTGCAGATCCCGGGTTCAGGCTCTGGAGCGGAAAGGCTCTTGGGCGTGACTATGAAAGGCAGCATCTGTCAGAATAGGTCATACTGAGCCAGTACAGATGGACCTGACTATTAGTTTGCTTCCTATGCCAACTGCCATTTAGGGCACATCAGAGGTGGCAGAGAGAGGTAGGAGAGAGACTGGCCTCTGCAGTATGGGCTGTGAAACATAAAGCAGCAGTCAAATACAACATTCCTAGAGTTGACATGTTTAGACATGAAGAGGGATGTTTGTCCAGCCAGTAGATGAACTTCCTGTTTCCTCCTAGGCTGGAACAAACTTCCTCTACATGTGACCAGAGGTGGGCGTGACTTTACCTGTGCAGGTAACAAAAGCACAGGAGTGGCCACCACATCTCTCTCTTCTCCATTTTGCTTTCATCAAAGCATCAAAAGAACTATCTCCTTATGGGATAGATTCCAGGTGTATATATTTTGTAACAAGTCTGCCTTCAGGGATCCTTTTGTGAACTGAATGAAACTATGAGTAAACTATTTTATACTTTTATACAAGACTGTGTTGTGTCTATCTTTTTAGGAGGGAATAAAAGGGGAATTACCAGGAAACTTATTTTAGAGGCTTAAACAATCCTGGCAAAAGTGTTATCCGCTGTGTAAGTTTAAAAAGGGGACTGTTACTCTGCTAAATTGTAGAATTTGTTAACACAAGTTGGGAAGGATATAATTAAACAATATATCCTCTCCTGCCTCCCTGAACATTCCCACATACAGAAGCCCTTACCTCCCTGTCCCCACCCCAACTCTTAGGACCAGAAGCAAGAGACACCTTTACTGAGCATGTGCTCCTTCCCAGGGAGATGAAATTCTGCACTACTGTTCACTGAATTGTTCGCGAAGCAGCCATACTCCAGGCTCTTATTGTCACAGCCCTGCAGGATCAGACCAAGGCCCATCTAGTCCAGCTCTCAGCACCCCAGCAGATGTCCAAGGGAAGCCCCAAGCAGACTCCAAATGCAGCCCCACTCTCCCCACTGGGGACGCCCGCAACTGGTATGCAGAGGTAGACTGCCTCTGCAGCTGGAGGTGCAACATGGTCTAACCCTCCATGAATTTGACTAATCCTCTCTTAAAGCCATCCCCGTCAGTGCCTCTGGAAGGAGGAAATTTCAGTGTCACTAGGCACTCTGTGTTTGGCCTGAATCTTCCAACATTCAGCTTTCTTAAAGAGATCCAGGTTCTGATATTATGAGGGAGAAAGCATTGCTCTGCACCTTTCCCACATCATGCATATTTCTATTATGTCCCCACTTTCCCCCCTCTCCCAAAGCCCCAAAGCCTCCTATGTTCTACCCCTTCCTAACAGGGGAATCATCAGAACCACCCATGTCTTGGAATAGATGACCCTCGGGGTCCCTTCCAACTCTACAATTCTGTGAATCTATTATTCTAAGCTGCTGCAGCAGGGAGGGGAAGTCATGACTCCTCAGATGGTTGGTACATCTACATCTGGAGGGGGTCACAGTAAAGGCCCTTTCCAAAGCCCCAACTTCCCCATCCTTTTTTTGAAACACCTGGTTGCTTATCTTGTGCAGGCATATTTTGTCTGTGATATTCTAACAGTGTTCCTTATAATCTGGCAAAATAAAGATCTAGGCATTTTGTTTTGGCCAATATAGCCAGCATTTGCAATCTTGGCACTGGACATTCTGCTTCCTGAAGCATAAACTGACACCCCCCCCAGCACTAAACTCCCCCCTCCATTGTTAGAGCAACAATAAGGGTCACACACTTCACCACCCATGCATTCATATATACCAGGAGTGGAAAACTCCAGATGCTGCTGAACCACAACTCTTATCAACCCCAGAAAGCATGGCCAATGGCCAGGGATGAAGGGAGTTGTAGTTCAATCTAGCCCCACCAGCCCCGCACCAGCTCACTCAGCCCTGCAGCACCCAGAGACCAGCAGCTTCCTCCACAGAGGTAGCACCAGCTTCCCTTTGCAGAGATTGGGGGGGGGGACCTCTCTTGGCACCAGCGAGCAAGGGGACGTGGGGCAGGGCAGAACTCGCAACAGGCTGCAACAAAGGGGCAATAGCTCGGCAAACTACCTGAGTGCCAGCCACAGCTCCCTTGAGCACTGAGCACAGAGGATTGGTAGGAAGTGGGCATCTTACTAAAGACTGTGTGGAGGGTGCCCTTGCAACCAACCATTGCCCAAATCTGCTCCTCACATGAATGTTGGGAGATTTGGGGGGGGGTGTTATATTTATTATTACTACTTTCTTTCTTTTTTCGAAATTTTAAGCGCCTAAGAATTTTGTGCCCAGGAAAATTGCCCCGTGACCCTACCCACACAACGCCACTGTATTTTCCCCAAACCACAACCAGAACAGATTTCTGTCTGTTAAGGGGCTTGCAGATGCTTCTCCCGATTCTCTTCTATGTGCAAAGCTGCCTTAGTTCAAAGGTTCCTCACCTGTGATGTTGCGGGTGATGGTGACGTTGGAAAAATGATCCCCTTTGAGCCACCCCCCACTGGCAGCCTCTTATAGGCCATGCTGCCACAATGAAAACACAACCCCGGGAACTCAGGTATGATAGCTACATTGCCAGCCCCCAACAAGGATTGACCTCAGGCTGCGAGAAGACTATCTAGGAGCCCCCAGCCTGGCTCTGATATACCCACACAGCATAACAGCATAAGCCTGTGTCAGTGGGGATAAACACTATCCCCATAACTTAGGCTTGTCCAGTTCATGACCTCCCATGTTCTGTCAGCCAAAGAGTGGAATCAAACTGCAGGCTGTTGTAAAATTGATCTGAAATATGTTATGTGCCCTATTCTACTCCCAGGGTACATAAGTAGCCTCACAATAAGATGAATTCCACTGAACGCTTTAAACATTCTTCAGAAGCTTTTGTCATAGAACACAAGTGCGGGTCTTTTGAGGGAAAGTTTCCATAAAAGGAGGAGAGCTTTCTAAAACATATGGGGCATGTAACCTCTACATGGTCAAAAAACAGAGGAAAGGTTAGATAGGAAAGAGTTGCAGCCCTTGAAGTCAGTCCTGAATATTTTTAGGAGAATGGCTGCTGTAGGTTGAGAGGCTTTTATCTCAGTCTCAAGACACAACAAAATCAGGAAGAAGCACAAAAATAATCCAGTACAGGAATAACATAAGTCACAAGCAGATAGATAGACCATCACCGCTTCTGATTCAACTTCAGTTGAGTTCATTTTAATTTAATATAACTTAATTCATCCTATATCATTTATACCCCACTTGATTGTCAAAAAAATTAAAGCAAGTTTACAAAAACACCTCATGTCATGTAATGTCACTTCATGTTTAATGAAGCAGTGAAATACAGGCACACATTTCAAAATATTGCCATGACCATTAAACTCAGCAGTAAGCAAAAGGCTTTCCACACCCTGCAGCCTTCCACATGTCTTCCAAAGGCCCCTAAACCTGAAGGCTTTACGGAGGTGTGGGGAAGAGTACAGTGAAGGCAGCTGCCTGGGTCCCTAGGCAGGGAGTTCCAAAGTGTTAGTGCTGTTGCACTAAAATATAGATTTCTTGCAAATGTGGAATGAGTCTTACGTGGCAGCTGTAACAGTCCCAGTTGTGCAGGTTGAGTAGGCACAATCCCTCAAGTGTAGAAGATACCAAGCCACTATACAAGGGGCTTGAAATACCTGCAGCACCACAGTTGCATCTGCTCCACAGGTGTCTCTAAAGTAAGGTTACCAGATTTTTTCAATGAATCCGGGGACACTTTTCAACTTCCCTCTAAATAGATGGATTTTGTCAGGGGACTGATTTGTAAATCCGGGAAGTGTCCCCGGGAAATGGGGACTCTGGTAACCTTACTCTAAAGCCCCCTCACCTGTGCTATCTATATATCACAAATGACTAAGCATCAACAAAGCCTGCACTCTCTCTCCATCCCTAGAAGTCATATTTCACCATCTCTTTTCTAAAAAAAATGGGTCTAAATCTCAGTCTTCCTCTACTCTGGTCAAGGGTCTGAACATTTTGGACCACATCTTTACAATGACTTGGGTGGAGGAATGGAAGGGGGTGCTCAACAAATTTGCAGTGACACCAACCTGCGGCTAATGCTGCAGAAGAAAGCATTCCATGTGGCCTTAACAGA